GTCTGACATACCGTGCAGATTGTAGGGGGAACCAGGAGTTGTTGGCGGCGGCGTGTGGGTGGTGGTGCGGTTGTGTGTGTTATGTGGTCTGTGGTGGCTGTGGTACGGTCTGTGGTGTTATTATGTTGTTGTGTAGTGGCGACTGTGTGTGGTTGCTGTGTGAGTGTGTGGGGCTGCACGGGCGGACTATGGTTTGCCGTGGAGGCTGCTCTGTTTGAGCAACAGGGGGCCACGTAAGACGTGGTCCACTGTCTGTGTGTCCGTAGTCCCGAGCAGACCCTGAGGTGACTCCACCCCTCGCAGGCATTACACTTGACTGAGGTGGAGTTGTGGTGTAAACGTCTTCGGCATACACAGCAGGTGTATATTTCTGGCCCAGGGTTTGACTCGATGCCAGCCCTGAGTAGGAGAATGCGTAGTGAATGTTGCCCTATGGACGGACAACTTCTGAGATACTTCGCCGACCTAAACGGGGTTAGATCGCCGAAACAACAGCCCTTGGTCGGGTGAAACCCGAGTCATTCCGGTACGTAGAACCGGCTGTCGTGGGAATGATCTATGTACGTAGTCACTTTTACTTTCATTCTTGTATTGGTCCTTTTCTAAGTGTTATTCTTTAACCTTTTATTAGCAAATTTTTGTTAAATTAACACCATGTGCATACACTCAAGAAGCACTTGTTTCAGCCCCAATCATTTCCGTTGCATCATTTCCGTTGCACCGATTCCGTTGCATCATTTCCGTTGCTCCACTTCCGTGTGCAATTTCCGTTGAATTTGCCCATTTACTCCCAACTAGGGATGGGCGATGATGAGAAATCATCGATTTTTTCATCGGTGATTCAACATCGATCGGAGGGTCAACATCGATCCTCAATTTTCATCGACCGACAATCATCAATTTTACACAATATCGATATCATTCTAAAATACGAAATTGTTCCTGTGCTCATCAGAAGTAAGCCGTTCTATTGGAAGCGTTCGCGCAAATTTTAACATTATTTGTTTTCATTCATTTTTTCCTCGAAATTATGTATAAGAGTTTCAGATTTGTTTAAAAAAATTTATCTAAAAACTTAAAATCAAATCAAATATTTTACTACCTTCGCCTTTTATATGAATTATAGTTTTACATACGTACAACCACGTTCAGGTATATCGTCACCTGTAATTACATATTTATGTATGTATGTATTAACAGTGAATATCTGGAATCATCGGCACTTCGATTATGTGTGCAAGGTATCGATGTTACGATATTCTACATAGTCCGCAATCGGTTATAAAACATCGATATTTTACGTCTTATCATCGATAAAATCGAATATAGATGAATATTGGACATCCCTACTCCCAACCAACCAACCGCCGTTAAAGAAGTTTCACTTCAATAACAACAAGCATTAAGTAATTTCTTAATTGTGCCAAACTGAAACGTTTTTTGCAATAATAAACGATTAATTGAAAAAGGCTCTAACCAACACTTTTTCGAAACTGCGGTTTTTACAGATTTTGGCAGTATACCTTCAAAAAAGATTTTAAAGTGTTAGTACCAAAAACAATGGAGTTGCATGCCAAAAGCTTTCCTGTTTTTGATACTGTATATAACGTAATTTGCTTCTCCTGTAAAATAAAAAAATGGTTGGTAAGAGCCTGGGTGAATAAAATAAGGCAATGATGTGTAACAAATACTTAAAAACATTTTCAGAAAATTATTTCGAAATTATACTGAAATAAGTACTTACCCACTGAACCCAGGATGTTGTCAAACTGCCCAGCATTGCGAATAAATTGAATGTCAGAAAACAGGTAACTGAAGTAAATAAATTCTGATTTTGTATAATAAATGTATCCGATGATTTTTTTATATCTATAATTATAAGAACATGTTTATGTTATGTAGTATAATAAATATTTAATGTAAAACCAAAAAAAATTACACGGTGCGCTTGGATGGAGTTAATGCTCATTCTCTTTTAACCCTTAATATGTTATTATACCGTCCGAAAAAGGTCATACACCCAGAAAAAACTCAGCTAAAGATATTTCTCACAAAACATGATTTAGNTTGGTCGGGTGAAACCCGAGTCATTCCGGTACGTAGAACCGGCTGTCGTGGGAATGATCTATGTACGTAGTCACTTTTACTTTCATTCTTGTATTGGTCCTTTTCTAAGTGTTATTCTTTAACCTTTTATTAGCAAATTTTTGTTAAATTAACACCATGTGCATACACTCAAGAAGCACTTGTTTCAGCCCCAATCATTTCCGTTGCATCATTTCCGTTGCTCCACTTCCGTGTGCAATTTCCGTTGAATTTGCCCATTTACTCCCAACTAGGGATGGGCGATGATGAGAAATCATCGATTTTTTCATCGGTGATTCAACATCGATCGGAGGGTCAACATCGATCCTCAATTTTCATCGACCGACAATCATCAATTCTACACAATATCGATATCATTCTAAAATACGAAATTGTTCCTGTGCTCATCAGAAGTAAGCCGTTCTATTGGAAGCGTTCGCGCAAATTTTAACATTATTTGTTTTCATTCATTTTTTCCTCGAAATTATGTATAAGAGTTTCAGATTTGTTTAAAAAAATTTATCTAAAAACTTAAAATCAAATCAAATATTTTACTACCTTCGCCTTTTATATGAATTATAGTTTTACATACGTACAACCACGTTCAGGTATATCGTCACCTGTAATTACATATTTATGTATGTATGTATTAACAGTGAATATCTGGAATCATCGGCACTTCGATTATGTGTGCAAGGTATCGATGTTACGATATTCTACATAGTCCGCAATCGGTTATAAAACATCGATATTTTACGTCTTATCATCGATAAAATCGAATATAGATGAATATTGGACATCCCTACTCCCAACCAACCAACCGCCGTTAAAGAAGTTTCACTTCAATAACAACAAGCATTAAGTAATTTCTTAATTGTGCCAAACTGAAACGTTTTTTGCAATAATAAACGATTAATTGAAAAAGGCTCTAACCAACACTTTTTCGAAACTGCGGTTTTTACAGATTTTGGCAGTATACCTTCAAAAAAGATTTTAAAGTGTTAGTACCAAAAACAATGGAGTTGCATGCCAAAAGCTTTCCTGTTTTTGATACTGTATATAACGTAATTTGCTTCTCCTGTAAAATAAAAAAATGGTTGGTAAGAGCCTGGGTGAATAAAATAAGGCAATGATGTGTAACAAATACTTAAAAACATTTTCAGAAAATTATTTCGAAATTATACTGAAATAAGTACTTACCCACTGAACCCAGGATGTTGTCAAACTGCCCAGCATTGCGAATAAATTGAATGTCAGAAAACAGGTAACTGAAGTAAATAAATTCTGATTTTGTATAATAAATGTATCCGATGATTTTTTTATATCTATAATTATAAGAACATGTTTATGTTATGTAGTATAATAAATATTTAATGTAAAACCAAAAAAAATTACACGGTGCGCTTGGATGGAGTTAATGCTCATTCTCTTTTAACCCTTAATATGTTATTATACCGTCCGAAAAAGGTCATACACCCAGAAAAAACTCAGCTAAAGATATTTCTCACAAAACATGATTTAGTAACTACATACAGTATCGGTCATATCTATAGCACGCCATTTCAAAGTGATATTGTGTGCCACTTATGTTTATTTATATATTTTTAAGAATTTTCAATTAAAATATTGTTCCTTTTCGGACAAACCCCATATATACCCAAGTTCAACAATTAGTAGAAAACTACAAAAAAGTGTAACAAATTTTCACCTAAATTTCAAACTTTTTTCTCGGTAGTGATAGAATTTTTTTGAGGACACAGTTTTTTAGTCTGATAATGTGCAAATTTCAAGTGGCTACGAATTACCGTTAATTTTTTAGAATTTTTTTTGTCGCATTGGCTTCCATATAATGAATAAACTCAATTTATTTGTATATGGAAGAAAACCGCAACATCCTTGGCGAAAAAAATTCTAAAAAATCAGCGGTAACTTTTAGCCACTTGAAACTTGCACATTATCAGACTAAAATTGATTGGGCTATAAAACTGTGTATTCAGAAAAATTCAAACACTTCCGAGAAAAAAGTTTGAAATTTAGGTGAAAATTTGTTGCACTTTTTTGTAGTTTTCTATAAGTTTTTAAACTTGGGTTTATATGGGTTTTGTTAGATAAAGAACTGTATTTTAATTGAAAATTCTTAAAAATAAATAAATAAACATAAGTGGCACACAATATCACTTTGAAATGGCGTGCTATAGATATGACCGATACTGTATAACCAAATAATGTAACTATAACCAAATCATGTGTTGACCAACCAAACACCTTTTTACCTTCCTTTTATTAGCTCGGGATGTAACTATGTAATATTGATGCACATAAAAGATGCAGCGATTTCTATTCTCAAGTTACATACCTGATGACAGTACGAATGGCAATTATAATAGGAAGGTTTTAGTTTTTTAAACTATAATTTTATTTATTATTTTATATTCAGCCTTTTGTCTGCTTTAAGCTTTGAATTAACTGTAAAAAACACAAACACCGCTCGTACTGTAAAACGTTCTGAGCACGTTGATGCTAAATGGCAAATTTTAGGATGCAAATATCAGAGGCCTGTAACACAATAGGGGTATTCTCGAAGTCTTGCAAGATGCACGGATTACACAGTGCGACTCAAACCAAAAATTTTTAAAACACACGATAAAATCAATATATTCACAAAACTAGGAGCCAAATATAGTATAACTGCGTTTTTAATTTTTCTCTCTGACGTCAGGATTTTTTTAAAGGACTTTGAAATTTCTAGAATATGATTGAATAAAAAAAATATTTACAAGATTTGGTGCATTGTAGAGTAGCAATATGGGTATCAATTAAAAGGAAAAATTCTGTAGAATAGAAAAAAATTTAATTCGATGTCGTCGGCATACGCCAGCAGTTGTACGCTCTTGTAAAGTATTGTGCCTGATTGGTTTAGTTCTACGGCTCTTATTATCTTCTCCAACATCAGATTAAAGAAATCACACGAAAGGGAGTCCCCTTGTTTGAAACCTCGTTTGGTATCAAACGGCTCGGAGAGGTCCTTCCTTATTCTGACGGAGGAGGTGGTATTGCTCATTGTCATTTTACATAGCCGTATTAGTTTCGCGGGGATACCAAATTCAGACATCGCGGCATAGAGGTAAATTCTCTTCGTGCTGTCGAAAGCGGCTTTGAAATCGACAAATAGATGGTGTGTGTCGATCCTATTCTCGCGGGTCTTTTCTAAGATTTGGCGTATTGTGAATGCCTGGTCTATGGTGGATTTTCCAGGCCACACTGATAAGGTCCAATCAGCTCGTTGACGGTGGGCTTCAGTCTTTCGCACAATACACTTGATAAGACCTTAAAACCTATGCTTAGAAGGCTGATTCCGCGGTAGTTGGCGCGTATGGCGGGGTCGCCTTTCTTGTGGATTGGACAGAGCACACTTAAATTCCAGTCGTCGGGCATGTGTTCATCTGACCATATTCTGGATACGAGCTGATGCATGCACCTCATCAGCTCCTCGCCGCCGTACTTGAATAGCTTGGCTGGCAGGCCGTCAGCTCCAGCATCTTTGTTGTTTTTCAGCCGCGTAATTGCTATTCGTACCTCGTCATATTCAGGCGGTGGGACAGCTACTCCATCATCATCGACTGGTGACTCGGGTTCGTCTTCGACTGGTGACTCGGGTTCGTCTTCGTCACTACTTTCAGCGCTCCTACCATTCAGTAGGTTGTAAAAGTGTTCCCTCTACAATTTAAGTATTTTCTGGACATCGGTCACTAGGTCGCCATTGTAGTTCTTACAGGAGTTCGCCCCGGTCTTGAAACGGGCTCGATGAAATCCAGCTACTCCTTCGGCGGCGGTACTTACTGATCGGGAAATGTGGTTCCACTGCTCAAGTATGTCGGATTGTTGAAGAGTGCTGTCAGAGCGCAGGTGTGTGAGTCGAGTAGCGAAAGCACTGGCTGTCTGTCTGTCTGCAGCCTTTCGACATTAAGCTTTCCTTGCATTGTTGGGCGCTCATTTTTTGCAGCATAGAGGCGGGTGCGTATCTTGGCTACAACAAGATAGTGGTCCGAGTCGATGTTTGGCCCTCGGAGTGTACGTACGTCTAAAACGCATGAAGCATGCCTTCCTTCTATCACAACATGATCGATTTGGTTTCTCGTTTTTCGATCTGGAGACAGCCATGTAGCTTGGTGGATGTTCTTATGCTGGAACCTAGTACTACATATTACCATGTTTCGGGCCTCGGCTAAGTCGATCAGCCTCAGTCGGTTATCGGATGTTTCGTCGTGGAGGCTGAATTCTCCGACAGTGGCGCCAAAGAACCCTTTCTTGCCCACCTTGGTCCGTTTATGAGAGCTTTCACTGTATCTCAGTCCAATAAAATATGTTTTGATAACTTTTGATATTGAAATTTTAGCAAAAGTCATTATAAACAATTTATGAGATCGAAAACGAAAAACGTGGAGCGCATGCAATACAAAGAATTAGATTTCATTGACAATAGTGAAACTACATCAAGAATGATAGAATACAAGATTGCGCCAATCGAGCTGAGAGCAATTGGGTGTGACGTCATATTATTATGAGAATGAGAGTGTAAAGAATAATTTTGAAGAAAAAGAGGAAGAAGCGAACAAGTGGTGCGAAATAGTGATGTAAAACTAGGCTGAATTGTACCTACTCTTCAGCTTCTCAAAATTTGAACGTACATTCGGTACAAGCACATTACTTTAAATACATTTAGAACGTAGTAAAATATTGTTTAATGTAAGGCGAAAAGTTGTTAGGGTACAGTAGGAAG